TGGATGAGACACCTTCTTCTTGGGCTAGACATGATCACAGGAGGAGGAGGAGGTCTTCCCTTTTCTGTGGGGGGGCGGCACTGCCGCCCTTCACAGCGGCACTACCGCCCATAGGCCACGGTGCTGCTCTAGGCTAGCCTTGTGCCACCATCTGTGCAGACTTATCTGTACCTTCCTGCCCTTTGCTCACGAACTGAACACACTCATATCCATTGATTACCTTTCTCCTATTGGTTTTACCTCCATGAGTGTGCCCAAGCCCATCTTTGATGCGTGAATTTCTTCCATCTTTGTATTGTGGCCTCTTTGATTTTTTACCTTTGCCACCAGCAGGTTTCTTGCCTTCCATGCACCTTTTTCCTAACATAGCATTAAGCCTAGCAATCTCCTTTTTCATAACCTCCAAGTTTGCAAGGTTAGTGGAATGAACATTTAAGTCAAGATTATAGCATTTTCCACATCCTTGGCTAGTGGAGGGAATAGAAGTGTCATTTGTGTTGGAGGGATGTGAGGTGCTCTCGCATAGAAGGTTATATTGCTTCTCAAGTTTGTTGTACTTTTCAATTAAGACACAATACTTGTCATTGAGTGCAATATTTGCCTTCTTTGTGAGAGCATGTTCTCTTTGTTCTTCGGCCAAGGCCTTGCTCAAAGAGTCCAACTCACTTCTCTCTAACTCAAGACCTTCCTTGCAGCCAATATACATCTTTTCAGTTTCCTCAAGATAATCATCTCTATCGGCTAGCTCGGCTTTGACACTTTCTAATTCCTCCATTAGATTCATGATAAAGAGCTTGGTTTTAGAATCTAACTTTTTAGTCAATTTAGCATATTTCTCAACATCACTAGTATCATCATCACTAGAATAACTAAGTTCACTACTAGAGATGTCACTAGGAGGTGGAGGAGAATTGGCTCTTCATTTTACCTTCTCACCCTTTATCATAAGACAAACGTGAGTGAAGCGGTGGTCATCATCATAGGACATGTTGTTGAAAAGCCTTGGTGTAGAGGATGACTTTTGAATGGCTATGGTTGCAACCTTCACATCCTCTTCACTTGACTCCTTAGTTGAGTCCCACTCATGCCCAATGTGTGCCTCTCCCATTTGCTTGTATCTCTTTTTGTGGTCATGCTTGCCCTCATTGTTGTCCCTCTTGTATTTGTTTTCTTTCTTGTCATAGGGACACTTAGCAACGAAGTGCTCCGTGCTGCCACAATTGTAGTAAGTCCTCTTCTTCTTGTTTGGAAACCTTCTTTGCACTATCTTATACCCATTCTTTTTCAACCCCTTGTGATAGCTTTTCATGAACAAAGCCATGTCATCAATCTTCATATAATCAGCCCCATCATCTTCATCTTCACTTGAGGATGAACTTGGATCATCATTTTGTGGAGTTGACTTGATTTTCTTGGGTTTACTTGTTGATGCTTGCTTGCTGCCCTTTTCCTTGTTGGAGGTGCCTTGATTGCTTGATTTATTTGCCTTGAGAGCCACTTTCTTGATTTTCATGCCCTCTAACTTGGCTTGCAACTCACCAAGTCTTCTCCTCTCATTTGCTTCTTCTCTTTGCATGTCAAATGTCAACAATCTTCCAAGCACATCATTTGGTGTGAAGTGCTCAAACTTCTTTTTATCTCTAATCAAGGTGACTACGGTCTCATTTCTTGGTGAGTAAGCTTCCAACATAACTTTCACCACTTTGTGATCATCAAGCTCATCACATCCATAGCCTCTAATCTTGCCCACCAAGGTCATCAATCTATCAAACATCTCTTGTGGCCCCTCTCCATCAACATCACAAACCTATTGAGCTTGGCCATCAACAAATCAATCTTTGCCTTCCTTACTTTATCAACACCTTCATGTGCTAGATGCAAAGTGTCCCAAATCTATTTTGCAACATTGACATTCATCACTCGGTTGTACTCATTTCCATCCAAGGCACTAAGAAGAATACTTGTAGCTTGGCCATTGAGATGGACAACAGCTAGCTCTTCATTTGTTGGTGCTTCGGGATCTTCTGGTGGCTGCAATCCATTCACCACAATCTCCCAAAGACCAGGGTGAAGACCTACAAGATAGGCACTCATCAAGTGCTTCCACTTGGCAAAGTTTGTCCCATCAAAATGAAGCAACTTGCCCGCGGGCACATTCACAAAAGACCTTTTGTTATGGTTAGACAAATAAGAATAATTAAATGATACGGTGACATATTTGTTTTTGTTGTTGTTGCTGCCCTTGTCCTTGCTATCCTTCTTTTTGTCCATGCTCTTCACCTCCTTGCTATCTTTTGAAACATGATATGACACATCATCATCTCCATCGTCCGAGCTACTAGAGAGCTCACTAGATGATGCATCATACTCATTCTTCTCTTGCTCTTTAGCTCTTGCTGCCCTTCTCTTAGCTCTTGCCTCTCTTGTGATTCTTCTAGCTTCTTTTCTCTTCCTCTTGTCTTTGAGCCGCTGCTCTTCCTTCTTTTCTCTAGCTTCTCTTGTTGCGATCTTGGCAGCTTTTCTTTCTTTTCTTGCCTTTCTTCTTTCGGCATCGGTGGTCTTGGGTTCTTTGATGGTGGCATCACTTGCTGTGGACATGGACAGCTCACTACTGCTGCCGACATCCTCAACGTGCACACCACTTGCTTCCGCAATGCGAACGGACTTCTAACCTTCTCCTTCTTCCATACTTCACGCGGTGAAGCATATACGAAGCAACCTCGCTCTGATACCACTTGTAGGATCTACTGGAAGATAAAGAAGGCCTAGAGGGGGTGAATAGGCCTGTAAAAATTCAACTCAAAACTCTGTTAGAACAGAGGGCGGCACTGCCGGCCTTACAGGGCGGCACTGCCGCTCTACGAAAAATAATCTAACACATTTGAGATTTAACAGAGATGAACCTGACCCCACTAGCTGCTTAATCCTGCAATATAGAGTCAAGATCCAGTTCGAAGACTGGATACCACAGAAACTTCACACAAAAGTGAATCGAGCAACTAAACCCTAATAACTGCTAGCAATAATGTAAACAGCAAGTATAGTGAAGAGAAAGCATGCGAGACACAAGATTTATCCCATGGTTTAGCTCACCACTAAGGTTTGCCTAAGTCCACATTGTTGAGGAAGCCACAAAAGGCTTGAGCTTGCCACAAAGGCTTGCTTTACCCTTGTTCTTAAATCAAGAGAGTGAACTCTTGAAGTGATGGGTGATTTCTTAGCTTTCGAATGAGGTTACAAACCTTCCAAGGCTGCCACATGAGTTGGCAAGCACAAGGGCGACGCCTAGCCGGCTAGGAGCAAGCTCTAAGAGTAACAAACCCTAGAACCGCCGGCCAAACGTGAACCAAATGCTCTTAGACTTTGGGAATCAGTGGATCTCCTCTCCAATCGAGTTTTGCTGCCTTTTCTCTCAAGTTTTGATGGTTGAAATCAAGGATTAGCTTGAGAGGTGGAGGAGCAACAATGGAGGAGAGGGGTGAGCTTTGGTTCTGTCCGTGTTCGAGCAGAGTGAGTCAGTGGAGAAGATGACCGTTGTGGGTGGGCCTGAAGGGTATAAATACCCCCCGAGCCCAACGGTCAGTTAAGGGCGGCACTGCCGCTCTTAACAGGGTAGCACTGTCGCCCTAGCCAAAACATGTAATATGATATGAAATTTGGCTGGCTGTTTTGACTAGGTGGGAGGATGTAAATCTGTGAATTTGAGCATCTGATTCAACAGTTGACCAACTTTCTTAAAGTCCCTCTTAATAGTACGGCTTTTCCTAAACTCAAATTCAAAATCATAAAAGAATTTAAACCTCCCTTGAGCTAGGTCTGGCCACCTTTTGTAATTAGGACACCTGCAACCTGTTCATCATCCTCATTCTTTGATTTCCTTCTTGTCATCTCGATAAATCTCATTAGTCCTCTAATTTGGTGGTTATCAATACCAAAACCCACAATAGGGCTTGATTGCACTTACACTATGCAAGAAGAAACTCAACCGCAGGACGTTCCTAACCATGAAAACACCCGATGGCCGACTGTCTTGGATCAACTTTAACTGGGAAAACAAGTAGACAAATGGAACTGCAGCAATGCTGATGTTTAGTCATCCTTCGTTTAATTTCTTTGCATGTGTGTTCATATGTTTCAATCGATGTGTGTTTGCTTGTTCGAATTCGTTTCATGTACCTTGAGCGTTTGGCATGAACTCTTTGTTCTTTATGTACTGCATCATAATAAACTTATGCTCGGTGCCCTGTTTTGTAATAATCTTTGCCTCCGCTACAAATTTATTAATGTGAGCTTATTATTATTATTGTCGGATGTGTATGGGATCTAAAGTTACATTTTGTAGTGGAATCATCAGCACCACAATGATAGAACGCAGACTCATCAGGAGCAGGGATGCCTGATAATGAACTACAAACGCAGCATCTAGGTAAACGCTGTAGGGGAGGACTGGTTTTCAATGTTGTAGTGGTGTTGTGTTTGAATTGCTTGCACTGGAATAATTAATTTGTAGCGGACATATTATGATAGTAATGTTAGTAGTGTAGGTGACTGATGTTGCATAAATGTTTTGTAGAATGAGCAGCACTGAACATTCCGACGAACAGTCAAGCGTGAGCACAACTTTGAGTGATGGCCCCAAGAAGAAACTCAAGGCAAAAATTGTCAAGTTGGCGGGTCTTGGAGCTGCTCTTGCTACTGTGGCTTGTTCCAGGCAAGGTCCTGTGATGAATCCTCAGTGCCCATTTGAAGACATGACTGGGCGACAATGGGTGGAAGCAAATTTGCAGAATGAACGTAAGTGCTTCGAGAACTTTTGGATGTATCCTCACTCTTTCATGAAGTTGCACAATGAGTTAGTGCAGTATCATCGGCTGGGTAGTTCACAAGCGATGGAGTCATATGAGTCACTAGCTATGTTCCTGTGGGTGTGTGCGACAAAGCAGGCAACTAGACAGATAACCCAAAGATTTGGGAGGGGTTTGGGCACAGTTAGTTAGAAGATGGGTGAGGTTGCAGATGCCATGTACTCCTTTGCCCAGACGGCTGTTGCGGTAAAGGATCCGGAGTACAGAAAAACCCATCCTAGGTTCGATGAATTCAGACCCTACTTTGATGGGTGCATAGGGGCTTTGGATGGAACACACATCAAAGTGAAAGTTAGTCGCAAGTCACGGTTGGACTTCATGAATAGAAAAGGAGAAGTTACCATGAATGTGTTAGGGATAGTGGACATGGACGGGCTTTTCACATATGTTGGTGCGGGATCGGCGGGGTCTTCTCATGACATGTCGGTTCTGACGTACTATATGGGGCGACCAGATTACCCGCATCCCCTAGCAGGTAAGATTGCATTATCGTCGAGTACGTTGTCAGTTTGTAAGAGTACCTTTGTGAGTAATGGGTGAAATGACTTGATGAATTGCAGGAAGATACTACCTGGTGGACTCTGGATACGCCGTGCGCGCAGGATATTTGGGGCCATATCGGAATACAAGGTACCATCTGGATGACTTCAGAGGCAGAGAGACGGAAGGATATATGGAGAAATTCAACTACCAGCATTAAAGGCTTCGCAATGTTGTGGAACAGTCGTTTGGGAAGCTGAAAGCTCGGTGGCACATTTTGGAAGGAGTCCCAAATTATGTGAGACATAAGCAAGTGAAGGTGGTAATTGCATGTTTTGCTCTGCACAATTTTGTGGAGGGCGAAAACGAACGAAGGGCTGCGGCGACGAATCTTCATAGGGCTGTAGATTACAACCTGTCAGCATGGGCGGCATCAGTTGAAAGTGAAGATATGTCATAAGTGCGAGATTGGATCGCTATGGGACAATGGGCTATGTAGTGCACAGGTATGTACACTAAGGCTGCTGTGTGCTACAAGTATTGATAGATGTAGAAAATGAGTGGTGCTGTAATTTAGTTTATGACAATCTATGTGGCTGTAGGTAATAATGCAACGGCAAAGGTGTACGTGGAGTAGAGGATTGCATGAAGAAGTTTGCAGATTTGGACCGAGCTTTTGGTGAGTGCTGTGCCTTCTATGCCAATTTGCAATATATTGTAGTTGTGCCATTAGTAGAGTACTCAATGTGTTGTAATGTTGTGGTATTTGAGAGGTTGTATGCAACTGTATGTGTTTTGTGGTTTAAGGACCTGTAATGGCAGCCAATGTGGTACTTTAAGTCACTGTAATGAACTGTAGGTTGTAATGGACTGCCATGTCTTATGGCTGTAATTAATTGTTAGTTTAAGGCAAGTATGAAATGATATTTGGTATGGTGGGAGTGCTGCATTCCCGCCAAGTTTGAAATGGAAATGGACTCTGCAGCATGTTTGAATGGCAGTAAATGTTAGTTTGAATTTGAATGTGCTGATGCTGGGCTGCTGGTGGCTGATTTGGATGTGTGGCTGATTCTGGCTGATTTATATTACTGTAGAATCAGCCAAAATCAGCTGGAAACTATACCAGCCGAACACGTTGTGAAATACCATTCATAATGAACTAGAACGGTCTGTATAGATAAAATCTGCGTTCTGCCCAATTGAGATTTGCATTGAATGTTTAGTGAAATTCAGAGAGTTTTAAAAAGAAATTTAGAAACACAAGGGAACATATAGTAAGAACCAGACACACTGATTTATGTTAAGTAGTAATATATATTCTCTAGTGTTTTCAAAATGTTCTTGCATCTATTAAGAACCAGTTTATTTTTGTACATAGCTATTTTTTTATATCAGTGACATCTTTTCTGGAAGGAACTAATAAACTAATATAAATTGTCCTTTTGTAGTCGATCAACTCAACACTTCTAAACCAACTTGTTCCAGTTGTGAACATGTACAATCACTGTGTCATTTGCTGCTGTAGCTGTTTCATTTGCCCACACTATTAAAGGTTCTTCTATGATAAGCTGATTTTATTTCTATTATTATCCCTCTACCTCCTATTTTCTTGTGCTAATATGTTTCCAATTTTACAAATTACAACACAGCTCTGGAGCCATTCTTCAATGCGTCTGCTTCTCAGTTTCTCCTTGGATAACCAGTTCCATTGACACTCTAGCTGTCTTTTGTTCCTGTCGTGGTTGGTAACTTGGTATGTCCCATTCCAAATTTTGCTTTAGTTGTAGGTGCTCTTTTTTTTCCTTTGTTCTTTTTCTTGTTTTCGGTTGCGTTCCTGATCCCACCCACGAATCAGAAAAGTAAAGTAAGAAATCTAGTGACAGTTGTCATATGTCCAAACATTGAGCTCACCTATTTTGACGTATAGTATAGAGACGTTGCAGAAGATACTTGGCCTTCTTGCTGGTTACTCACCTATTTTTGTTTGTCCCATATTGAGCTCAGTCATGTGCCTGTTCTTGGCAACACATGTCAGATCAGGCAGCCATTATTTTGCTACAGAAGTAATGTACATCTTGTCTTTACTTTCAGAACTGTTTTGACAGTTCAGAACTGAAAGGGCCACTTGCGGCATCAGACTTACTTTACTCTAAATAGTTCCCTGAAGCCACCAATTATTCGTAGAAGTAACTCTTCACATGTCATCATTACAGTCGAGCTATCTGTGATTACGCAGAAAGTATGTCCCTCTCACTTTTTTAACTTAATGCACACATCGATAGTGTGCATTAGCTGATGAGAATGTCCAAAGCTGCTCAGATCAGTGATCAGTCAGTTTACTGAAACATGACAACTGTCTTTGAACTTTTGAAGGTCAAGCTTTGATGTTGCACTTTTGAAGGTGTTTAGTTTCAGCTGTTTATGTCTAGCTGCACGTTTGGTGATCCTACCTATGGCAGGCTAGCTGTTTGATAACCTGGTTGATTTTTTACTAATCTATGCCATGACTAATTGTTTTTTTATTAATGAATATATGTTTGCTGTGTTGGATTGTGCATTTATTAATGAATATATGTTTGCTATTTTTATTAATGAATATATGTTTGCTGGTTGATTGTGCACGGTGCTTCTGTGGTTCTGAATCCGATGTGCAAAAAAGATTCAGTGAAGTATATTCAGTAGATCACAGTACCATACTGACAACAACAGAAAATGTAGTCTGGACAATGTGTACATAGCTAAAATGTTCAGTGTAATTCTGCCTTCTTTTACAAGTTGCTATGTTTAGTATCCTTTACTTAGGTTTTTATTTTTGTTGCACAGACTTGTGCTTGAGAAAATTGTCTACTTTGTTTGGCTTGGCTTGGACTAGTCTGACACATGCTTTAGATTAAGCAGAAGCATTTGAATGGCTGCAAACTCAGGTCTAGTACTGATAGTGCCTTGTGGGATTTAGCATTCCTTGGGCAGATCCTAAATTTGATCTGGTTCTAGAAATTGTCAGATTTCATTTCTTAACATGATCCACAGTTCAGACATTCAGTTCTGCCAATAGTCTGATCCCCAGAACAGAAAATTTAGTAGTTTCACTAGTTTAGCCAATAGTGTTGGTCTTATCTGATTTGTCTGCACTCTCTATCTCTCTATATCAAAAGTGTGACTCATTGTTTTACTTATTCCCTTGTGAATATAGGTGCTGAGGAGTTAGTGTACCCATATGTTCATTCACAAGGACAATAGAAGGATACAGGAGCACAACTTCTGACAACAACATCACAAGTCCTCTGTTCAGGAATCAGAACTACTGCAGTGGTTACTAACGTCCTGTGTGCTAGCAACGGTACTGAGTTGATTACTTATTTTCATGGGGTGCAACAAAGATGAGGCTGCTAGAGTGAAAGCTCTGGCTGAAAGAAAATTGTTAGACAAGGATTTTGTTGCTGCAAAAAAGCTGATTATCAAGGCAAAACAACTTTCCAAAGAAGTGGGTGACATTGATATTCCAAAAATGTTAACTGTTTGTGATGTTCATTGTGCCGCTGGAGCAAAGGAAAATGTGCAGATTGACTGGTATGGAATACTACAAGTGCCTGAAACTGCTGATGACGCACAGATAAAGAAACAATATCATAAGCTTGCCCTTTTGCTGCATCCTGACAAGAACAAGTTTGGAGGTGCAGAGGCAGCATTCAAATTAGTTGGAGAAGCAAACGAGACTCTTACAGACAAGTCAAAACGTTCTTTGTATGATATGAAACAGGTTAGAGCTACTCAAACAACATTTTGGACTATGTGTCCATCCTGTGGCACGAGATATCAATACGACATTGTAGTCTTGAAGAGGGCTTTGTCCTGTCAGAATCAGAATTGTTTGAAGCAATTTATTGCACGTGATTTGACAGAGAAGCTGTTCCTTATGGGGCAAAGCAGCGATCTACTAGGGCTGTGGTTGAATCTAGTGAATCTAGCGTATCAGAAACCAGTAGTGATAACGAGGAAGAGAGGGTTGTGGTTGAATCTAGTGAATCTAGCATATCAGAAACCAGTTGTGATAGCGAGGAAGAGAGGGCTGTGGTTGAATCTAGTGAATCTAGCATATCAGAAACCAGTAGTGATAGCGAGGAAGAGATTGCTGACCATAGTCCTGCTGCAAATGGTTCTGGTCAAGGTCAATGATGCAGGCAGTTGCAAGAAGTTAAGTACAATGAAGAGAAGGTTGATGATGATTTTGTGAATTCTCCCAGTTTGAAGAGGTTAAGGAAAAGTGGTATGTTCTGTGGTGATGACAACAAAAAAACGATAATACTGGTTGAAGAGATAGCTGGCCATAATGATATGACAGATGGTGCTAATAACTGTAGCACAACAGAAGATGAAAGAGAAGGTCGTTCCTCAATGCATGGTCTAGATCTGGACACTGATGATACTTCAGATGTGGTTCCCCAGGGTGACACACTCAGGTTTTCTCATTGTGTCCCACATCATGTGGTAAGTGGAACTGAAAAGGAAGGGATTCCAGAGAAATCTCTTGAACTTGATCCTGCGGCGCTTTCCCTTGACTTGCAGGAGGATTTCCCCTCTATTGCACAAGTAAGTGTTCTTTTTGCCATTTTACAACCTTCATAAGAAATCGTTCAAGTAATAGTATGCTTGCACAAGCTCTTTGCCCTCTGCTAATTTATCATCCTTGCACAAGCTGCATGTATGTATATCTACGGATATGCTTATTTGGCATTGTTGCATGAGTTTAACCCAGTTCATGCTGGATGACAAGGGTGTCCTGTGGGCGTTTTGACTAGAACAGGGGATTGCCATATGAGATTGCATTGTGGATGCTTATTGGTAGATGTTGTTACTTTACTTCAAATGTTGATGATACTGTAACATGTAAGCATTTTGCAGTTTGCACTACCTGCGTGTAAGCTATGCTCTTATTTTGCTTCCCCAGAAATGTACTTAATAATGCTTAAATTTGTAGGTGGTTTCTAATATGCTAGCCTACCCCAACTTGCTTGGGACTGAAAGGCTATGTTGTTGTTTCTAATATGCAAGGCTCTGCAGTACATGATCTGATGGAGCAAGCTGTTCCTTCTGGGGCAAATCAGCAATATGCTGGGGTTTGGTAAAATGCAGGTGTACCACAGAAATCTCCAGGTCCTCAGACAAATGTCACTGCTCAGAAAGCTTGGTCAGCCACTCCAAGACTTGATCTTAATGTTGCTTCCCATCATGCTGGTGAAAATACAAAGAGGGAAACTGCTGTGAACACTGCTGGGCCACAAGACAAAATGAAATCTGACCATGCTGCCAGGAATCCTTCAAAAGCTTCGTCAACTGCAGGATTGAAAAGGGGTAGGAGGGCAGTGGTTGAATTTAGTGAATCTAGCACATCTGTAACCAGTAGTGATTGCGAAGAAGGGGTTGCTGAACATGGTCCTGCTGCAAATGGTTCCGGAGTAGGTCAACGAACCCGCAGATCAAGCTGGCAGAAGCAAGAAGTTAAGTATAACGAAGATGATGACGATGATGTTGATAACTTATTTATGCAGTCTAGAGAGGCAGCTCCATATGTGATACCTCAGGGTGACACACTAAGGTTTTCTCATTGTATCCCACATCATGTGATGAGTGCAATTGGAGACAGAGTTCTAGAAGGATCTCTGGAACTTGATCCTGCAGCGCTTCCCATTGACTTGGAGGAGGTTTTTCCTTCTGTTATCCCTGAATGCAGTTCAGAAAGAAGTCAGGAACGTGATGCCAAGTATGCAGGTTCATCCAGTGGTAACAGTTCTCACGAAGGATCCATGAGCGTTGGGAATGGGCGACATACAACGTGCATGAATGTGGGGATCGCTGCAAAGACATCAAAGGAAGTGGATAGCGAGCATAACACTACCACTGCTTCAGATGATAAGTTCACTATTCTGGATCCTGAATTTTTTGATTTTGAGCAACTTCGAAATGAAAAAGGAGTTCCAAAAGTTTCTGTAGAGCTTGATCCTGCAGCGCTTCCCCTTGACATGGTGCATACTTTTCCTTGTGAAATCCCAGAATGTAGTTCCATAAGTCAGGACCATGGTGCCAAATATGCAGGTTTATCCAGTGGAAACAGTTCTTGCATAGGATCCATGAATGTTGGGGAGGGACAACATACAACTTGCATGAATGCAGGGATTGCTGCAGAGACACCAAAGAGAGTAGGAAGCATAACACCTGTTCTGCTGAAGTTGCAGGTGTCGATGAAGATGATATTTGGCAAACAGTATATGTACATGCTGAATCAGAGTTCTATGATTTTTCTCAAAGAAGATTGCTTCAAAAGTTTTCACCTGGGAAGATCTGGGCTCTCTATAGTGATGATGATACGTTCCCTAATTACTATGGCTTCATACAGAGAGTCGATCTCAAGAATGGTAAAGTACAAGTTAGTTTTCTTGATGTTTGTCCTCATGGAGAAGAGGAGAAAAGATTGCTTCAAGAAGAACGGAATATTGGGTGTGGAATCTTTAGACTTTCCAGCGTCCATGAGTTGATAACTTGCACTGGTACAGATGCCTTTTCTCATTGTGTGGAGGCTAAATCTACTTGCCAAAAAGGCAAGTATGAAATAATTCCTCATCTCGGTGAGATATGGGCTGTTTACAAGAACTGGAGGGCGCGGTGGACTGCTCAGGATTTTGGAAGATGTGAATATGAACTGGTGGAGATACTTGGCCATACTGGTTCGTCCATACGAGTTCAGCTTTTGAGGAAGGTGGATGGTTACAGGATGGTATTTATGCCGTACCAAGCAGAGGGGTCTGTGAAGACAATAAGGAAGGATGAATACCCCATGTTCTCTCATCAAATTCCTTGCTTTCGTCTGACATGTGAAGAAGGTGGCAAGCTTCGAGGCTGTCTGGAGCTTGATCCCTTGTCCCTACCAGAGGAATTCCTCAATGTGAGATAGCCTGATCTGCAGTCAATCTGGGGCCTTCTTGTGGTGAGGTTTCTGGAACTAAGGTATGTTAGGTTTGATCTCCCACCAGTTAGGCCCAACGGCCTTTTTGGGCCTTGTTCTCGTGCCCTGATCGGGGGCGCCCAACCCTATATGGTTGGTGCGCCCCCGTCGCACAGCGCTATAAAGGAAAGGTGGGGACTGGGGCTCGCAGTACGAGGTTCACCGCGCCGCCAGTCACCCCACCGACATCCTAACCCTAACCCGATCTTGAGAAGGGGCGCTGCCAGCGACGGGAAGCACCACCGACGCCGGCAACGCCATCCCGACGCCACTGCACCGACTCTCCCTCTCCACCGAACATCGCTGCCGGCACGCAGATGGCGTCCGCCAACGAGACCCCGGCCCGTGTTTCGACCACTACGGCCTTCGATGGTCTGCTACCTCTCACTCCCCTTCTCTCTGCCTCTCATGTAAATCTTGAACATGTATTCTATTCCTATGCAAAATATCCCGATCTGATGAATATGACTAAGAGAAAACCAACAATGGTACCGGAGCTAGGTTCCGAGAAGAAACCGGATCGGGAAAAGAAAATAGAAACAAGAACCCTAGACCTAAATCCTTTCGGATAAGAGAAAACCCTAGACCCAAATCCGAAAGAGGGAAGAAGGGGAAGAAGAAAGAAAGAAGGGTCGAAACCCTAACCCTAACCCTAGTTTCCCATTCGGATGAACCAAAAAGAAAAGAAATCCAAAAAAAATACAGAAAACCGAATCGGCAAAAATCGAACCCTAACCCTAATTTTTTCCCCATCCCCACCATGGGTTAATCCCAGAAGAGAGAAAGGACGGGGAAGAAGGTAAAAAGGGGGAGGACTCACCGTCGCCGGCGCGGGAGAAGAAGAGCCAAGGGGCACCGTGGCCAGGCCGCTCGACGGCGGCGTGCTCACCCGTTGGGGAGCACGCGCGCCGGTGAGGGGGGCGGCGATGGTGCCGAGGCTCACTCCACCGCCCGCTCGCTCGTCGTCGCTCGCTCTCGGTTGCGGCTGCGCTGCGCTGAAGAGAGAAGAGAGAGTGCGGCGAAGAAGAAGAGAGAGAGAGCAGGGGCGAATGCGCTAGGGTTTCCAGGCCACCGGCCGCGGCGATGTTTTTGATCGGGCGAAACGAACGCTTGGCCGTCGGATCAAGACGAACGGTCGAGATTCGATGGGCCAACTCGAGGCCCAGGCGGGAGCGCGCTGCCGAGGCACTTTGCTGGCCCAGGCCCAGGTTGCGGCCTGGGTGCGGCCTGCTGCGCGCAAGGAGGACTGGGCCGAATTGTTTTTGCCGTCTTGGGCCGCGCTGGGCTGAAATAAAAGAAGGAAGAAAAAAAATTCTTATTATTGTCCAGGAGCAATTTTAATGCATATTTTTGATGAATTTGAATGATTTTGATACAATTTTCTGTGCAAATTTTATCCAACGATATTTTGCTCAGAAAACAGTAAATATTTTAGTGCTTCTGGAAAATAATAATATGAAAAGATTATTAATGTTTCCGCAGTGCATGATAATTATTGTTCTCTTTGATTAAATTTGAACCAACGTGATAATTTAATTTTAAGAGAAATGAATTTCTGATAATTTTGATGCAATTATGATATTGTTATTTTCTGACCAGCGTTGTTAATAACAATATTATAATTTTGATCCATGAGAAATTATGCATTAATTTTACTTCTGCCCAACGGTGATGTAAAATGTTTGCATGGATGAATTATAAGTTTTAATTTGACCAACGTTGAGTTAAAGCATGAAATTTTATGTATAAATGTTTCTTACTTACTCTGGTGTGATTTTAGGAGGCAAATGCATTGTGAATATTGCCAACATCCCGACACTCAATGGGACCAATCACCGTGTGTGGCGGGAGAAGTATGAATTAGAACTTGTGTTGGGAGAGGTTGATTTTGCCATCACCTCACCATGTCCTACTGAGCCAGAGGACCCGGTGAGAGGTGAAAATGAATCTGACGCTGATTTCGCTGCTCGAAAGCGTGATCATGCTGAAATAAGAATGAAATATGACCTTGAACATAGGCAATGGACTCTCTCCAACCGCAAGTGCTTCTTGGTGGCCAAAGCCACCATAGAACAACAGATAAGGGGCTCAATCCCTGAATGTGCTACTGCCAAAGAATATCTTGAGAAAATCAAGAGTCAGTTTACTGGGTCTACCAAGGCCACAGCAAGTTCACTGATTAAGAAGCTTGTGAATGAGAAATTCACTGGTGGTAGCATAAGAGAGCACATTTTGAAGATGAACACTACAGCATCTAAGCTAAAAGAAATGAATTTGAAGGAGGAGGATTTCCTAATTCATTTGATTTTTGCTTCTTTGCCAAAAGAATATGACACCTTCATTGTGAACTACAATATGCAGCCTGAAAGATGGTGCATAGAAAGACTCATCTCAATGTGTGCTCAAGAAGAGGAGAGGATAAAGTCCTCACAAGGTGAATCTGCTCATTTTGTGAAGGATAACAAAAGAAAGAACTTTAATGGCAAGAATTCTAAACCACAAGGGAAACCTAAGTGGGATAAGGCCTCTTCCTCCAATTCACAGGGAAAGAAACCCCAGGATTCTGAGAATCAGCAGTATGGTGGAGCTGAAAAGGATCAGTGCAAGCACTGCTTCAAGAAGGGACACTACAAGAGGGATTGTCTAGACTTCCTGAAATCTCTGCTAAAGAAAGGTGGTGAATTTATTACATTTGTAGATGAATCCCTGTATTTATGTTATGATAAATCCACTTGGTGGGTTGATTTAGGTGCAACTACTCATGTTGCAAATTCCTTACAGGGGTTAAGTGGGACGAGAACTTTGCAAAGAGGAGAAAGAACGATTAAAGTTGCAAATGGAGTGCAAGCCAATGTTGAAGCCATTGGAGTTTTTTCTTTAAAATTGAATAATGGTTTTGTACTTAGACTTAAAGAAGTACTTTATGTTCCCTCTTTACGTAGAAATTTGATAAGTGTTTCGAAACTTGATGATGATGGAATTGATTGCCATTTTAGTGATGGCAAGTGTAAGATACTGGTTAATAATAAATGTGTTGGTCTTGCCTTCCGACAAGACAAGCTTTATTTATTATCTCTCGCTGAGAATGCGAACAATGTATGAGATGAGAATGTGAATGATTCCCCATCTACGGATGTAACTAAGAAGCGGAAGAGAATTGATACTGTCTCTTCGAAATTATGGCATTGTCGCTTGGGCCATATTTCGAGGGGGAGAATGGAACGATTGGTTAAGGAATCAATTCTCCCGCACTTAGAATTTTTAGATTTAGAACAATGTATTGATTGCATCAAAGGAAAGTATGTCAAGAAAATTAAGAAAGATGCCAAACGAAGCACATGAATTTTAGAAATAATCCACACAAACATATGTGGTCCTTTTCCTATGAAAAGTGTGGATGGTTATGACTCATTTATAACATTCACAGACGACTACTCTCGTTATGGCAATATTTATCCAATTAAAGAAAGATCGGAAGTATTGGATAAATTTAAAATATTTAAAGTCAAGTTGAAAATCAGCACAATAAGAAAATCAAGATAGTGCGATCGAGGATCGAGGTGGAGAGTACTATGGGCGACATATACCCTATATGGCCAAATTCTGGACCATTTGCAAGGTTCCGACAGAAAATGGCATAGTTGCTCAAGATACTCCACCGGGGAGCCTCAGCAGAATGGAGTGGGTGAAAGACGTGTCGTACCTTAATGGATATGGTAAGAAGCATGATGAGTTACTCCACATTACCGATTAGTTTATGGATGGAGGCAATGAAAACCGCCATTCACATACTTAATCGAGTACCAAGTAAATCGGTGCCTAAAACACCGTATGAATTATAAATGGAAGGAACCCTCACTTAACCATTTATGCGTGTGGGGGCTGTCCATTTGAGAGCAAAAGTGTTTAACCCAAACATAGGAAAGTTAGACTCCAAGACAATTGAACCGCCATTTTATTGGTTATCCGAAAAGATCGAAGGATATCGCTTCTATTGTCCCGGCAGCATACATCACGAAGATTGTAGAAACAAGACACGCTGTGTGTTCTTGGAGGATAACATGATCGGGGGAGCATGGTAGCATGAGAAATCAGCCTACAGGAGAAGCGGGTACATGTACCCACTCCGATGGTTGAAGAACCATTCTTCACGCTACTTCTTTGTTGTTGTTGCAGCGACAAAGAGACAACATAGTGCCAACACCCGTTGCAAGTTCTCCCGTGGCGACAATGAATGAACATGAGGAACTCATCCTTGAGGAACCTATCCTTGAGGAACCTATAGAACCAAATGTTGCACATGAGGAAGAACAACAACAGCCCAATGTGGAACAAGTGCCGGAGGCACCTAGAAGGTCTCAAAGAATAAGAAGATCAGCTATTACTGATGACTATGAAGTTTATAAAACAGAAGAATGTCAGATGGGGGATGATCCCACCTCATTTGAAGAAGCCATGAGAAGCGACCACTCATCAAAGTGGCTTAAGGCCATGGAAGATGAATTGAAATCAATGAGTACCAATAAAGTTTGGGACTTAGAAAATATTCCTAAATGAGCCAAAACAGTAGGCTGTAAATGGGTCTACAAAATGAAATATGACTCAAAAGGGAATATAGAAAGATTTAAAGTGCGACTTGTGGCGAAAGGCTTCACGCAAAGAGAATGGATTGATTACAATGAGACGTTTTCTCCAGTCTCATGTAAAGATTCCTTCAGAATTATAATGGCACTTGTAGCCCACTATGATTTGGAGTTACATCAAATGGATGTAAAGACGGCTTTCCTAAATGGGGATTTGGAAGAAAATGTTTATATGGCACAACCGAAAGGTTTTGTCGTAAAAGAAAAGGAAAATATAGGATGCCGTCTGAAGAAATCAATCTACGGATTGAAGCAAGCTTCAAGACAGTGGTATTTGAAGTTTGATAGAACGATAAAAGGTTTTTG